ACTCAATTTCTTTTGAGCCTCGCTTCAGGGCTTAAGCGCGCGTTTGATAACACTGATCTCTAGAACTCTACGATCTCCGAATCTTGCAAGTTCCTCCTAAATGTCAAATCCCTATGTGTTTCTCCATCTAGCAGCCTCCGTATGCTTTGAATTGACATCTTCTTTTGGCATGAAATTGTGTACATTTAAGGAAAAGTGATACTCAAAATGTTACCTCCACCCTATCTGTGTCCCCAATAGCTTACTCTACTCCCATCACCAACCCTAAAATGATATATTCCCAAAAAACTCTTCCCACCCTTTCAAAATATTGCTCCATAAACATCATCCGTAGGGAAGTGTAATATTTTTAGTCCTCCGTCCCCCTTCGAAAACCCCATATTTCTCCGGAACACCTCCTTCCAAAGAGCATTCTCCTCATCCAAAATATAAACCATCTTTCTCTACGTTTGTACATTAGGTAAAAATAAAAATTAATTGGTTTGTTACCATCTCAAAAAAAAATTAATTGGATTGGGGTGCACTTATTGCCTTGATCCTTGGGAATTTGGAGGGTTAAATTGAGAAGAGGTGCAAAATACGTGAACTGTTATTAAACTCAAAGTTATTAGAGATGAGGAAATAAAGGGGTGGGGGGGAGTTGGTGGGGGTTATTGTTCAATGTGAATAGTGAAGGTAGCAAGCTGTTGAAAAGCTGTAGTGTAGAAAAAAGAGGTGGGAAAGCAGCAAAGACAGAAGAGAAGGATATGAGGGCTGGGGGATTGAAACCTTTTGGGACCAATGGAACACAGTTAGTTTAACCTCAGTAACCTCACATTCTGCAAAGGCAGTTCTTACTACCCATTGGAATAGAACATTGAGCTTCATAGATAAAACACTATGTCTTGGAGAAAATCATGACTTAGAGAACTAGTTCAACCTTGATACATTTTGAGGACCTTATTAGTAAACACAAGAAAGACTCTTGAAGCTTTGGAACCAAGTTTTGACCTGATAAAGTGAAGATTCTTGAAAGCATAACAAACAAACCTATTGTGGCTCTATGTATGAGCATCCTAACATGACTAGAATGTCACTTATGTAGAGTAGCTCAAAAAGTGAGTAAAGTATTGCATTACTAGAAATGTCTACATCTCTTTTGAGTCAGAAAAGTTTATAACCTTTTTTTAGACAGATTCTCAAGTTTCAAGCCTCCAAGCGGCCCCTTCATTCAAAACATGCATTGAATTTAGCAAAACATTTTCTGCGAGTAGTATTCTGAAGGAATTAGTGTTACATAGAAAATATTGGGTTACATTCCCCCTTCATTTACTTTCTTGTCAAATTGGCCTATTCCATTCAAATTTGTTTCTGTTGAGGGCAATACGTTAAAGTTGAAGTTTATGTTCTATTTGTTGGTTTCTATGACCTGAGAACTGAATGATGATATCTTTTTTCTGTATAAGCTTATTGCTTTAGAACTGACATGTTTTCTTCTCAAGGTTGCAAAGGAGCGGTTAAACCAAGTTATCACTGATGCTGGAGAGAAAGATCTTTCTGACTTATGTTCAGAACCTCTGGAAATTGAGACTGTGCTCAACTGTAATTTTTTTGCCCACTACATTAAACTTGTTAAATTCTTTCTCATCTTAAAAAAAGAATGATATGTGATCTCCAAGTTTATTATTAACAAAAGTGTATCAACAGATAAATCATAGGCCTGGCAAGATTACAATTCATTGTGGACAGCTAGATTTATAACTTGCAGTTTTGATACTGGCCCAGTTAGTTTTTTGCTGTATTTGTAGTCCATAACCAATTAGTTTACTTTCTGTGATTTGGAGTTAAAAAAGAATTTTCTGTCTGGAAGTATGGAATTTTGTTGGACTAATTCCCCTATGATGTTCCAATGTAGCTTCGCAAAACGAGTTCCTACCGTCATGGTTCCAATATTTCAACAATGAGCTAGTACATACGGTCTCCTTTTCACAACATGAAGCTTTTGACCATCCTGTGACATGTAAGCTACCTTTTTTTTTCTGACACTTTCTTGAGTCACTCCCCCCAATGTACTCCCTCTTTTTCACTTCTCTTTTCTTTTTCAGAAATGAGGTTCCATCTCACTTCTCTGAATATCCGTTTCTAGCTTACAGTGCTTCTACCTCTGTGGTGATAACAATATAGGTCTTTTGGCTGTTTCTTCACGGGATGAAGATCCCATCAACAAATTTGTTGACCTATTTAACACTAATCAGTTGCCTTCCCTTCTCAATGCTGGTGCAATGGATCCAAAAATTCTAAAGCATTTTGTATTGGTACACGATGGTGAGGACGCCTCATTAGAAAGGTTTGATGCTCTTTCCTTCCTTCTGAAATTGTCCAATGTAATCTGACATGGTGATTTATAACACTGAGATTGTTAACATCACAATCACAGATCTTGAAGAGTGGAAATTGAAGTACTTTAATAAAACCAGATACTTTGATCAGCATAAGTTTTTGAAATAATGCTGTTGTGAAGCAAAGGATAGATGTTTCTAGAAAGACGAGAAAGTATTTGAAAATAAAGAAACAAGTTTGTTTACTTAACTGTACTTGCAAAAAATTATTTCATTAACTTTTAGCAGTCAAAGAACTCATAGATTTTTAAAGGAAACCATGAAATAAACTCATAATTCTGCTTGTATTGAATTCAAATAGTAACATAAGATTTCCCTAAGTTGCACAAGGCTAGGGACACACAGAAATTAAAGACATTGGAAGTCCTGAGATTCCTGTGCGGGAAGAAGCTTGAAATGAGGGAAGTTGGCCTTAGTCATCAAACAAGAAAAGAAAAGATGAAGGAAGTCGTACTTTATTGCCTTTGTTGGTGTGTGCTTTTTGAACACAACTGGAGAACTTTTTAGAGACCTCTTTAGAGACCTTATGCCTTTAATCAGATTACAGAACTTTTAGTGCAAATTCTTTTTGGGAGTTGAGACAAGCATGTCTGATTTGAGCGTCTGATTCCTGATGCTGAATTAACTGCTAAACTCAAAATACCCTAGGCATTTTAAACTGACTGAGAAGTTTCAAGCAACCTCCCTAAATAAGAATAAATGCTTTTATCTGAACCTAGAACTAAACAAAACATACTTCTGAGACCGGCTCAAATAAAGTTAGTGTTGTCTCAACAAACACATAAGTGTACGTGGATGTACACAAGTAATATACAGTTCGTATTAGTGCAGTCCCATGACGAATTGGCACTAATTTAATTGCTAAGGACAACAACTAGGATTTGTTCAAACAACTAAATCTATTGTAAGTACTAACCTAATGACAAATAGGGGTGGGCATAGTTTGGGCAAAACCGAAATCCAAACCAAAAATAGTTTGGTCAAAAACCAAAATTTGGATTTTTCATATTTTTTGAATTACGGTTTGGTGTTTGGTTTTAATTTTTGAAAAATTCGGATTTCAGAATCGCGGTGATAAATTTCAGATATCCAAAAATCCGGAAATTTTTGTACCTTATGTTTTGCCCATAGGCCTTAACAACTAAATCAGTCAAGCATATCCATTAGACATTAGCCCAATCCCAAGCCAATATTAGCTTAAATAATTAGTAAAGGCCAACAACCCACTTAAGAATAGGTTGACAATCTTTGGTACTACCCACAACTTTTCACTTATTTTAGAACTGAACTTGTAAAGGATAATGACAAGTGTCTTATTATTATTATTATTATTATTATTTTAATAATATTATTATTATTATTTTTCTTCTTGTAATATCTTTTCTTATATCAAGGGTTTGCATTTGTACCTACAAAGTTACAATTACCAAATCTCTAGATGATTGTGGTGGGGATGAGAATTTATTAAGGCAAATTGACATGACTAGCATTTGGAGGTTCATTTTTTTTGTTAGAAGAATAAGAAGCCCAACATATAGGTTCAAATGAAAATCTGAAATAAGCAAACCGAAATTCGAACCCGAACTCTAAAAAATCAGACTCCCGGCAGACACATTTAAACTTTACCTTACCAAAGAAAAAAGCTTAAGTTTTCATAATCCAAACCGAACCCGACGTCCACCCCGAATGACAGACAAGGCAGTTGCGATGTTATGGAATTCAATATAAAATCTAGGACTATGATTTCTCTAACACTTCATTCAACGAATTGCATCCTCAAAATCTTACTTCAGTGGAAAACCTCAATATATATATATATAACATAGAACATGGAAAGGCTTGTCCCTTGGCCAATAGGAGGATTTATTCAAGCACATAGTTTGAGCTCCTAGAATATGGCGCCTTTGGGGCTTTCTATTTGATTGTATCGAAAGGCCAAATGAATTGGGATTTCCATATTGATCCATGTCATTTTCGGGCAAGCGGATCATTTATGGTGAAGAGGATGATGTAGAACCTCATGAACATTACATTCAATCAATCAAGAGTCTTTTATTCATTTAGAAACTTTCTATCTATTCCCAAACGCACAAGAAAAGGTAGAACCTTAGAACCTTTGGGAGGTACTTTTTAACTACTCTACTATAGCAATTTTAGATCTGCCGGTCGCTCTCTTGCAAGTGCTCGTCTAGCTCCCTCTCCGAAGACCAAACAAGGAAAGGGTTACTGTTTAGGATGGATGGATGTGGCCCAACGGCTCTTGTAGACTGAACTCTCTTCTCTTTAGGAACGCCCCAAAAAGGGGATAGAGAGCGCGCAATGGGCTTTGCAAGCATTAAAAAATCCCTACCTATACATTCCATGGCAACAGACAGAAGGCAATTTTGTCGTTGTTCTTAATGGAAACCTAGAAAATGCTTATCAGCACCTAGGAGCTGTTGTTGGAGTGCCTAGTCATTGACCAACAGCCACAACATACACCTGCTGCCTAGAACCAGGCTCTGGGCATGTGGTGCCTAGCGGTTGGAGAACTTTAGAAGCATAATTTTCCTGCTCTGAAGCACTTGGCATGTGCTAATCTTCTTTTTCTGCTTTTCAGCACCTCAGTATTGCTGAGATAGCGCCTAGGTACTGCCCATCAGGTCATTTCTTGCTTCTTCGGCTCTCTGATACCTGTCTCTTGTCATTCGTTTCTTTTCCTAGATCTCGCAAGTGCTATCTCATTGTTTGAATAACTTTCACACTCAACAAGGAGCCTTGTCAGTGTTCACTGTTCAGTCACAACATGGCATTCATCACTTAACAAGTTCCAAAGCCTCTCTAAGTCATGTTGATGCGAAGTTCATCTAGTATCATCAAGGGTTTCACATTAAACTCAGTCTTGGAATGAATATACGGTACACAACTATTAAAAGGGGCACAAGAGGAGTTCCTACTATTGTAGGGCTATCATATAGTCCTTTTCCCTATTGCCTCTCAAACTATCAAAGCTGTTTCTAGGCTTATGGTTTAGTCGTATTGTGGCGGTCTTTTGGTTACAAAAAGATAGAGCTCAATTTTGCATGATGTCACTGTTAATGATATTCTGTATTTTCTACAGAGCAACCAAAACCTTGGCAGAGATGAGGAGCACATTTGGGGCTAATTGTTGTCATTTGCTGTGTATCAACTCCTCTAAGGGCGGGTCAGGAGAACATGAAAATCTGTGGGCTGCTTTTGTAAGATAATCTTCCTGAGTTTATCCTTTTCACATCATATTTATTGGATTTATTATCTTTGTCTATTAGATGAAGTAAACAAAGTTTATCTTCTTCTGTCCGACAGAAAACTGATATTTCACATGGCCAGCAGTTGCGCTGTTTCCTTAGCTCAGATGACTTGGATGAGGTATTTGTTCCTGAACCTTGTATGGCTGACNCAAATAAAGAACTTGTGGTGGAGAAAGGGGAAAGAAGATACACCAGAAAACCCAGCTGGTCCAACGTAAGTTTGCTTGCAAGCTCATCCTTTGTCTAGTTTGTTACATGGTTCTGTTTTCATTTTTCTTTTCATGACTAATCAAAGTTTGTGGTTGCCTTTCAAGGTATACTTTCAGCTCTATTGAATCACAAATAAGAGTTTTGGGTGATTACGCCTTCATGTTACATGATTATGAGCTTGCATTGTCTAACTATCGTCTACTTTCTACCGACTACAAGCTCGACAAAGCATGGAAACACTATGCTGGTGTTCAGGTAGTTCTTGAGATTATGTATTGAGCTTCCATTTACTAGGCAGCAGTGTACTTGTTGTAAGCTACTTTTCTGGATAATACATGGCTCTGGTATGATGCCCTTCACTTAATGAAATATGTGTCTTTTCTTGACTTGGGTTTCCAAGGTGCAGTTGCTGGTCCATACTATTAGATGAGCAAAATAACTAATGTCCAATGAAACCTCGGTCCTTTTGTGTATTTTTGCTTGATTATGAATTCTCTTGTAAGTTCTTATGTCTATTTGGCCTAAGGAGTTATTCAATTGGCACATTCTTGAATCATAAATACATGTCTTCGAAAATATGAAGCATTGTGTCTTTATTGCACGTTTTCACTAAATGCATTGGAATTGAGAAAATAGCTAAGTTGCTCGGAGCCTCGGACTCAGGTGCGGGTGTCCGACATGGGTGTGGATCTAGAGGTTGGATTCTTCATGATCTAAATTTTAAGATTCGAGGGTATGGATAGAGTGCGGGGATTCGGCTAAAAATAATTCAAATATCTAAAAGTAGAGTTATAAAAATATGCCTAAATTATGAGACATTATAAGGAAAACTTACTTGGTGCTTGTAGAGTGCAGGAAAAGGACCACAAGTTCAATAACCATAAAGAATGAAGAACATTAAAATTTGAACTAAGCTAATAAGAAAACAAAAAAGCATTTTCTAATTGGAACTTGTAGCCCTTCTACGTTTCCAAAGGAGAATCCGAGAAGGAGATAAAAGGAAAAAAGACTGACATAGAAATTCATATTCAATTTTCTTCAATTTCACCTTAGCTTTTATTTTGATTTCAGTAATCATTGTATCTGTCCCGAGTTTCACCTTCGAATTTGGTGATAGTACCCAAAATCGATTGACCATATCCACTACGGATCCCACACCCACACTCATGTCGTGTCTACACGGGTGCGGCACCGAAAGTTAAGAGCCCGAGCAACTTAGGAAAATAGTAAGTGCTAGCTGATGAGCTCATACGGGCAACATATGTGCCTTCATTTAATCCTTTAGGTGCGTCAGGCAACAACTTGTTTTTCATTTTATTTAAAATGATCCATGCTAGTCGTCTCTCTAGTTGTTAATGTCTTAGCTGGTTCATTAGAAGAAATGCTGGGTACTAAGTATTGGCAAAATGTGCCTCACAAATTATTAATGTTCTTCTTCTTTCACTGTCTTACTTTGAGATTTATGAATATTACTTGGAAAGAAATGTAACTTGTGTTTCATATAAAAATTCATTTTCACTATGTTAAAATTAATAGATCTTTTAATTCTATATTACATCTATAGCTCAATCATAAAAAATGATTTGATCATAATTTCTTAAACAATTTCTTAAAAACAAAGAAATTGTGCCATGGTGTATGTTGTTCGCTGATGAAATAGTTCTGATTGATGAGACGCGAGGCGGCGTTAAGGAGAGGCGGCGTTAACGAGAGGCTGGAGGTTTGGAGACAGGCCCTTGAGTCTAAGGGTTTCAAGTTGAGCAGAACTAAGACAGAATACCTGGAGTGCAAGTTCAGCGCTGAGTCGAGGGAAGCGGGCTTGGACGTGAGACTTGGATCACAGGTCATCCCCAAAAGAGGCAGTTTCAAGTACCTTTGATCGGTTATCCATGGGGATAGAGAGATCGACGAGGATGTCACACATTGTATAGGGGTGGGGCGGATGAAATGGAGGTTAGCATCTGGAGTCCTATATGACAAGAAAGTGCCACCGATACTCAAAGGTAAGTTTTATAGAGCGGTGGTCAGACCGATCATGTTGTATGGGGCAGAGTGTTGGCCAGTTAAGAACTCACATATCCAGAAGATGAAAGTAGAAGAAATGAGGATGTTGAGGTGGATGTGCGGGCACATTAGGATGGATAAGATTAAGAATGAAGATATTCGGGAGAAGGTGAGTGTGACCCTTGTGGATGACAAGATGCGAGGAGCGAGACTTAGATGGTTCGGGCACGTGCGAAGGAGAAGCCCAGATACCCCGGTCAGGAGGTGTGAGCGGTTGGCTTTGGTGGGTTCGAGAAGAGGGAGAGGGCGGCCTAAGAAGTATTGGGGAGAGGTGATTAGGACATGGCGTGGCTTCAGATTTTCGAGGACATGGCCCTTGATAGGAAGGTGTGGAGGTCGAGCATTAGGGGGTAGGTTAGGAGGTAGCTGGGCATTTTTCTATTTCGTACCGGGTGTGAGGCTAGTCTCATAAAGTTTTGTCCTAGGCTGCTAGCGATTTTTGTTGTGTTCATACTATTCTTCCGTTGTTCATAGTACCGGGCCTTATTCACTGGTTTTTGTTATTGTTTTTCATCTATTTTCTGGTTCTTATGATGTTGCTATTATTCCTATGGTTCTGTTGATGGTACTGATATATTGTCTCTTTTCGTCTTTTTGAGCCGAGGGTCTATCGGAAACAACCTCTCTACTCTTCGGGGTAAGGGTAATGTCTGCGTACACACTACCCTCCGGGAATTCACTGGGTTGATGTTGTTTCTTAAAAACAAAATAATGGATGTTGATGTAAATTAGCTTCCCTCCTCTATATTCCACATTTTAGCATGGGTGACTAATTTCTTATCTTCCACCATTGCATATATAACTTTTAAAGATCCACCTCTGTACCATGTAGACTATGTGATTCTGCTCAGGACTTGTGCTTTCTTTGGATGCTCTAAGTAGTGTTTTCCTTCTAACGAAAATCATTGTCACAATTTACTTCTATGTTCTCTGTCCTGTAAAATAAAGAGTACTTGCTTTCTTATTACTCTTGTACAGGCTGAACTTTAAATTCCATTTGGGTCTAGGTCTTTTACATTGTTTGGCTAATTCTGTTATGAATTGCTTGGATTTGTTAGCACTTTATTAAAAGATGAATAAAAATATGAACTACTGTCCACTGGCTTTGCTGGATTAATGGTTTGAGCTTCAGATTGTTTGTTCTTAACTATTAAAACTGTAATAGTCTATCTTAACTATTGAAACTGTACTGGAGCATAATATAACTCCAGTGCTGGCCCAAACCAACCTTTTATTATGATCACTATGCTAAGCAATTAGATGATTAAGAATGTCGGTTATTCTTTTCTTACTGGCGTATTCTTGATGTTTTCCTGTGGGGCTATGGTTATTCATAGTGCCCCTAAGTTTGAGAATATGTTAATGATAATTTGTTCACAAAACTGGTTACTGTTTGCTCCGAAATTTCCTTATTTGTTTGTTTATGACTGAATGGGCTAAAGAAAACGGAGGAAAACAGTTTCCTCTTTGGCTGACACTTGAATAGTTAAATTTGGTTTCACAAGAGTGATGTTACGTCTTTATCCTATGTAATTCCTTTTCAGATTCGACAAGGGAAAGAAGATACTTTCCCTCGGCTTTGGGTAGATTTTGGAGAAATCTCCTTGATAATTTACTCACATCTATATTCCAACCTTAGAGATTAACGTACCTCATATATGAATGTTTGGTACTAATACCCTGGTACCCAACCCATCCTTAATATGGGCTCAAAAGCATTTAATAATCTTTGAATAATGCACATTTCTTTTATACTTTTTGTTTTTAGCAATGAAATGTTTTAGTATTGTTAATTGTCCCACGTCGGTGGGTATTAGGATCCTTGGTCTCCTTATATGTTCTTGAGCAATCCTCATCTCATGAGCTAGCTTTTGGGGTTGAATTAGGCCCCATGTGTGTCTTCTATTACTATCCTTATGTGTGTCTTCTATTTATATCCTCAGATTACCATTTTAGAATAAAATACTATAATGCACCTTACCTATCCTTTTAAAACAATGAAAAGATAACATATTTACTCTGAACATAATTACTTCGGAAGTTCTTAGTATATTTCTAACTTCATGTCTTGTGGCATTAATAAAAGTTTTTTCTTATTTGGCTTTAAACCACTACTTTCACAATTATTTGTGAAAGAAATTTGCGAAGAAATAGACCTTTACTCATTATGAGTTTGACGTGTGGGATTTGGATTAGAAAACAGTTTGGTTTTGTTTTGATTTTGATCCTTGGGAACAACATGTGTTTGGATTTGGTTTGAAAGAATTGGTTTGTATGGTGGAAGAATTGGTTTCGGAAAATAGCCTTTCGCTGTTTTTGGTTTTCCAGAAACAGTTAACAACTCCGTGTTTGCTTTAGAAAACAAAAATGCTCTTCGAATATCGACCCTTCGTTTGTGCTCATAAAACAAGTCTGCTTACCTTATGATGCATGGCTGTCTTTTTTTTGGGATAAATAGAAATTTGTTGCGATTGTCATATTTGGTGCGGTGAAAGTGATTGGGCTAATAAAATTAGCTATTTTCCATTTACCTGTTATTTTACATGCAACCGTTCATGAATGTAGTTGCATATCCAATTTATTTTGGGATAAAGCCTACTTATCGGATAATGTGAAGGTTATCAAACATTTTGATAGAACTGGAGTGTTAAATACATTGTACTAGAGCTAGAGTATGTTGTTGGTGGGGAGAACTTGAAATATCTTGGCTTTCTATTTGATGTGTTATAAGATCGATCCAAATACTGCATTTTCCATCATGTAGTCTTCCTAGGAGGGGAGATCCAATAGACACGAGAAGCAGTTTAACTTCTCGTTGACTCCTTTCTTTTGTTTTGAAGCATATTGAATGAACTAGCTTCTCGACACGCGCAATGCACATGTATATCCAATAATTTAATATACAATTTTTTGTAAAAAGAGTATTAATATTATAATTAAAACAATAATTTGAGTAAATAATTATACTTGAAAGAATAAATTATAAGTTTGCCCTGGCGATGGACGCACTGACGCGCCATATCCAAGGGGAGATGCCGTGGTGCAATTTATTTGCAGATGATATTGTATTTATTGACGAGACACGAGGCGATGTGAACGCGAGGTTAGAGGTGTGGAGGCAGACTCTTGAGTCTAAAAGTTTCAAATTGAGCAGGACCAAGACAAAATACTTGGAGTGTAAGTTCAGTGGT